CCAGTGACTTTAGGGGTGCCTTTTACTTTCATATTGTTTATTCTTCATTTATTTTAAATTGTAACACGTCATTGTGCCAAATGACCATTAACTGTGTGTTTAAAACTAATAATAACCTTACCCAGTGAACAGGTTCAATATTGATAACCACCAACAGTGAATTTAGAGGGGCATTTCACTTTTTATGATTTAGTGATAGATAGGTCTACTCATAACCAAAAGGAACAGGACGGCATGCAGCTTTCAGAACATAAAACAACACTGTGTTATGGTGATAAAAATTTTTTTAAATAAAAACAAAAAACATTTGTCAGTTTTGTCAATCTGCACGTAATTATTAAAGCAAAAATAGGTCTACAGGTTACTTCCGACCCTGGTACCACCTCAATTTCTACTACTTCCTACTAATTAAAGTGAAAATTTTAATAAGTCATAATTTTTATACTATTCAAAATATAATAAATTTCTGTTTGTGTAATAGATTATGCCTTTAAATCAGTCGTAAACTTCACACAACTGTCTAGAATGGATTCAAAATAGACACTGATTTGAGTAAACATTTTAGATTTCATTCATAATTTCCCAGCAGCACCTTCATCATTATCATCATCATCATCACCATCATCACTCACCTGAGCCACAGAACTCTGTCCCTACCTGCTGACCCTGTCTCTCATCAGCTCCTGCATCACATGAAGATGTATTAAACATTAGGTTTTTATTACCTGCTGAAGTCAGTCAGCTTTTTAAAGTCAGAAAATATCATGAAATGTGATGAATAAATAACAGATGACTATCTGGTCTGGTTTCATCAGTGATTGTGAGTCAACAGTCTCATCACCTGATTATTCAAGTTTTCAGACATGAACCAAGCTCTTTTATGCTGAAACTATTATAAGATAATAAAAAAATCTCACAATATATTAGAATGCAATCATTTTGTACATTAATAAAAACACCCAATAATCTTCTGATTTGATTATTTTATTCCTACTGATAATATCACCAGCTGATCACTCTGTACTTTAACAGATGCTTTAAATTACATTAATTGGTGGTGATATGTAAGCTAACTGTAGACAGCAGCTAACTGCATTTACTTTATACAGGATAAATCTGTCCTGTGGAGAGTTTAATTACTGTCTGTTTCTCTGTAAAACATCTCCTAATGTTGTGTGTCTGTGGAGGGATACAATCACACACGTTGCCTTCTAGAAGCATCTGGAAGATAGTTTTAGGCTGCATTTTTGTGCTCCTGGAATTCACCGTCATCTTCCTCCCATCAGACCCGATGGAGGCAGTCTGACGCCGGTCATCTATTCTCCGGCTGCTCGCTCCTACTGGTACCTGGTACCTTCAGCCTAACCTCGACCCCTTTATCTCAGAAAATTTCTGTTCGTTTGGCTGTATCTCGCACAAACTTTTTCCTTTTCTATCCATCTCTTTCTTTCTAACATGTTTTAACAGTGCGGCTCACCTCTTTTCTTTTTCTTTTTTAATTTGGGAGGGAGCACACCGAGCTGCTCCGTCTGCATCTTCTCCCGCTCCACAGAGCCGCACCTGTTTACAGGTAGAGAGAAGGTTGTTGTGAAAACACTGCGTGTCCAAATTCAGGTGCTGGATCCTTCCAAGGACCCAGCCTACATGGACTGAGTCCGTTGGAAGCCGCAAAAACATGAAGGCCGGAAGTGAACGGTTGTGAATTGGGGACAGGTCTAGCCTTCTCCAACAGGTCCGCCCCCATGTCAGAGTAAATTCCGTTGCCTAGCAACATGACAAGCACGGAGCATAGAGCAGTGATGGAGCCTGAAGTTTTGCTGTTTGTGTGCATTTATTTAATTTTAGAGGAACTTAAACAAATATGTCATCGTCACAGAATTGCATTATTACGCAGAAGAGTGTTATTTCTCAGGCTGAGAAATCATCTAAGTTTTTAAAGTAAGTTTAATTACTCTATAATCATAGCCGTTAAATTACTAGCTAGTTGTAGCTAATAAAATTAATTATAAATCAATAAAATTATTTATTGTACACGTAAGTTTATTTTAACCACTATAACACATATGATTTGAGCTTCTATTTTTATTATTATTCTTAATAAATTAAAAATAATCTAATGAAAACTTTTTGTTATACTGATATTACCAGCATTGCATTGATATCATATGCATCTTCTACATTTGCATGGTTCTGGTTGCATCTTAGTGATGCAGCAGTTGTTGATTGAGCCAGCCCTGCAAACCCACCTGGATGATGGTGTGGATGGAAGCATTTCAAACCTCTGCAGGCCACCCTGTTGACAATTCACTTGCCAACCAGAAAAAGACGAGCCGTATGTCTCTGTCCGGCACCCCATCCATGTATCAGAGCTTGCAACAGCAGATTTTAGCACACTGCCAAAGACTTCCTGTTGTGCTTTGGAATAAAGTTGTCCAGAAACAGGTCACTAAGGTTAATCCTGCACTTTTCACTGTAAATAACATCCAATGATATTTTTTATATTTATATTTATTTTATTTAAATATATTATATTTTTCCCTTTAAATATTCTTGATTTTTTATGTTTTGTCATGTCAGCCATTTAATGTTTTACCTAGTTTGTTTATAAATAAAATACATTTATAAAACATTTGCCTTTATCATTTATTAAAACACTAACAGATAAGAACCACAGGATACTTGCAATCCTAAACACAGAGGAAATCAAAAATTACAGTTGACAAAAACAGTAACAAAGAAAACTTTATAAAATGTATGTTTATTTGAATGTGGCACAACAAATTTAAATACTTTGTTTCTGTTTGTTTTTTGTTGTTTTTTTAAATAGTCCCACTTTTTTTTGCCTGCAAGGGGGTAACCTTTCCTTGCGGGCCCATCTTCTCCAGTATTGACCTAGCACATACAGAAAATAAGAAAAAATCCCTACATCCAAACTGAGGACTACTTAAAAAGTTTAACAGGATGCACAGCTTTCCACAGAAACAACAAATGTGTTGGATCATGTTATTTAAAGATAATTTGTTGACATGATTACTAAAAAGGAACAATATTGGTATCTTGAAAACACTGGTTCTGTATTGGATAGGGGTTAATAAAAGTGGAGAGATGCTGACTGGAAATTACAGCGGGGTAAAATAAGTATTGAACACATCACCATTTTTCTCAGTAAATATATTACTAGAGGTGCCCCTGTGTCATTTTTACCTGTCTAATTGTCTGATGTCCTCTCCTTTCAGCTGATTGGCTGGGAGGATAATAAAAGGAAATGAGCTCCACCTGACAGAGGAGCATGCGGCCTGAGGGGAGAAGTTTGTTTGTTTGTCCAGCGCTCCAGCCTCGCCGCCGCTCCACTTTTTTCCTCCTTATAGATACCTGGTTTTGGCCTGAGAGTTGCCAGCCCCTCTTTTTCCGGTTTTTAGTTGTAGGGTGAGACCCTGGACCGGAGGGCAAGGGGAGGTTGCCCGGATCCGACGGTAAACTGCTGGCTGGTTCGGGTTTTCCTCCCACCTCTTTTGTTTTGTTTTGAAGTGGGGCTTCCTTTGTTTTGTCCTAACAATAAATCTGAGTTCTTTTTACAAACACCTTTATGTCTGGACATTATATGTTGTGCGTCCTGGGTATCCTAGACCCCGGGACCGTAACATATATGGGGGCTCGTCCGATCCAAATAATGTTTAATATCATATTTGGGAGCTCGTTTTTTCTCTAAGGTGTTTAATAACACTTTGAGGTTATTGGTGTTTGTGAGGCTCATCTGTTAGTGGCTTTTTTTTTTTGACAGTTTGTTTGCTGCGCGTCTCTGCGGGCTGACTTGGTGCGTCACGCCCCTTTTTTTAGCGAGACGTGGCACTGCCTGGTGTTTGTGGCGGCAGTGCTTTAAAGTTGTCTGCTTTAGATTGGGGAGTTTTTTTAAACTTCTCCTTGCCACACTTTGTTGTTCGGACAGAGCTTATGTTGGTGTCTACAATGTGTGTTTCCTCAATTTTTCTCTTTTAGACTTCATTTTGTTATTATAATGGAGTTCAGTTTGGAGGATTTTGTGGACCATCCTACCATTGAGCAGTTTAATCGTTGCACAAAAGAACAGCTGGCGTTAATTTGTGCTCATTTTTCGTTTTCTGTCTCCAAACAGTTAAAAAAGAAGGAAATGAAGTCTGAGATTCTCTCTGCTTTAACTGAAGCCGGTATTTTTCCTCAGACTAGTCCTGAGACTGTATTGTCCACTGATGTTGAAAAATCWGATTTTAATATCCGTGAGTTAGAGTTAAABGTGGAACTTCGCCGTTTGGCCCTTAAAGAAAAAGAACTTGAGCATGAGTTTCAYCTKCSTAAAATAGAGGCTGAAACTCAAAAAGAAATTRGTTTAAAAGAGCTCGAGATGAGTGGTTCCCCTGCTCTGTCATCTTCAGATTTTGATGTAACGAAGTGTATTCGTCTCATTCCACCATTCTCTGAAAAAGATGTGGACAAATATTTTGTCTTGTTTGAAAGGGTGGCTACCACGTTAAAGTGGCCTAAGCCGGTGTGGCCTTTACTCTTGCAGTGCGTTCCGACAGGCAAAGCGCAGGAGGCCTATGCGTCTCTTTCMCCAGATCTTAGTCTGGATTATGATCAAGTGAAAGCAGCTGTTCTCAGGACATATGAGTTGGTACCAGAGGCTTATAGGCAAAAATTTCGCCATTACAGAAAACTAGATAATCAGACTCATGTTGAGTTTGCTCATGAGAAGGAGGTTCTTTTTGATCGCTGGTGTTTTGCACAAGGCATAAAAACTTTTGATCGGTTACGTGATCTAATGTTAATGGAAGAGTTTAACAACTGTGTAACAGAACAAATTGCAACATATATTAARGAACAAAAAGTAACTGACGTTTCTAAGGCAGCTGTGCTTGCAGATGAGTACGTGCTGACTCACAAAGATGTGTTCGAGAAGTGACCCCCTGTGTCACTGCACAGCGCTCCTGTCCTTCGCCCTGCTAAACATGACGTGGACATGGAACATGGCCTGAAAAATGGAGCTGGTAAGATAAAACCAACTTGCTCTTATTGTAAAAAACGTGGCCATGTTATAGCAAACTGTTTTCTGCTTAGTAAGAAAAATGCGTCTCCTAAAGCAGTCACGTTGCTGAAGTCGCCGCCTGCGCCCATGTCTGGTGAGGTGCGTAAAACAGATTTGAATATCTATTCGCCTTTCCTTATGAAAGGTGAAGTCTCTGTTGCGGGTGGTGAAAAAGTGCCTGTCACTATATTGAGGGACACAGCAGCTTCTCGATCCATCATTTTAAACAGCGTTTTGCCTTTATCTGATGAAACGTCTCTAAATTCTTTTGAGTTGGTGCAAGGTTTTGGGATGAAATTTGTGAATGTGCCTCTCCATCGTGTTCATTTGAAGTCTGAGCTATTGTCTGGTGAGGTTGTGTTGGCAGCAAGTCCTGTTTTTCCTATTAACGGTGTTGATCTTCTTTTGGGAAATGATTTYGCTGGAGGTAAAATTCTGGTTAATCCAGAYGTTACAGCAGTTCCAGTTTTTTCTGACGGCCCAGATGAGTTGCAGATAAAATTTCCCAAACTGTTTCCCATGTGCGCCATTACGCGCGCCATGGCACATAACAGCGCCAAGTCAGACGCTGATGCTGTGGTTAACCTGGAGGACAGCTTCATGTCYGATTTATTTTTAGATCAGGACAGCCATTTAGATTCAGTGAATGCTCCAGTGACGTCATCACATTCACCGCCTCAGACCTCTCCTCCCGACAAAACCCCAGATGACTTAAAGTCTCGAGAGAACCTGATTTTAGAACAAAGTCAGGATCCCTCTCTCAGTTCTCTGTTCAGTCGTGTTCTGTCACATGAGGAAATTAAAAATGTGCCAGTTGGAGTTTTTTGCAAAGACGGCATTTTAATGAGAAAGTGGACCCCACCGCATGCTTCTGCGGAGGATGACTGGTGTGTGGTTAATCAGATTGTGGTTCCACAAAAACTCTGTCCTTCAGTGCTGAGTTTAGCTCATGATAATTTCATGGCTGCTCATTTAGGGGTGAATAAAACTTATGACTGCATTTTGCGGCAGTTTTTTTGGCCAGGATTAAAAAGTGATGTGAAGAACTACTGTAAAACTTGTGGTGTGTGTCAAATTTCAGGAAAACCAAACCAGAAAATTCCACCTTATCCTTTTCACCCTGTTCCTGCTGTGGATGGTCCTTTTGATCAAGTGTTGGTGGATTGTGTTGGTCCTCTTCCACGCACAAAGTCTGGTAACAAGTTTTTGTTAACAATAATGTGTGCAGCAACAAGGTTTCCTGAGGCGATTCCCCTGCGTAAAATAACTGCGCCAACAGTCGTGAATGCCTTAGTAAAGTTTTTCTCTTTATTTGGTTTGCCAAGAGTCATTCAGACTGACCAGGGATCAAACTTTATGTCACGCATACTTGAACAAGTCTTAAAACAGRTAAAAATCACACACTGCTGGTCTAGTGCTTATCACCCCGAGAGCCAAGGCGCGCTGGAGCGGTTCCACCAGACTTTAAAAAGCATGCTTCGAGCGTATTGCCTTGAGTTTGATAGGGACTGGGACGAGGGGGTTCCTCTTCTTCTTTTTGCCGCACGTGAGGTGGTGCAGGATTCGCTTGGCTTTAGTCCAGCTGACCTTGTTTTTGCCCACTCAGTGCGGGGCCCATTAAAACTCCTGAAGGAGAAATGGATGCGCAGCGAGTCACAAAACCTTCTTGATTACGTCAGCGTATTTCATTTTAAACTTCATCGGGCATGTGAAATGGCTAAAAAAACCTAATAGCGGCTCAAAAGAAAATGAAGGGCTGGTTTGACGGGAAGGCCAGTACCAGGCAGTTTCAGCCAGGGGAAAAAGTCCTGGTTTTTCTGCCCGTTGTGGGTGCGAGTCTGCAGGCGCGTTACAGTGGACCGTATGTGGTTGAGCGTAAAGTGAGTGATACAGATTACATCATCGCCACTCCTGACCGCATGCGCCGCAGTCGCCTCTGTCACATTAATATGTTGAAAAAGTATCACGAACTGAGTGGTAATTGTTCTGTTACTTTATCTTTGTCTTCCACCGACCTGCCCTCTCCTGCTGCTGGGGTAATCTCTGCCCCGCCGCCGTCTGTTCCTGATGAGGGGAGTAGCTTAGCGGAGCTGTCCAGTGTTGAACTGGACATTGACGGTCTCTCTGATGCTGTGTTGAAGGGCCGTTTTAATAACTCTGAAATGTTGGGTAATCTTAATTCCAACTTGTTGCATTTGTCTGAAGCTCAGCAAYTTGAAGTGGTTGGTCTTGTTAACTCATACCGTTGTTTGTTTTCTGATGTGCCTTCTAAAACTCATGTTTTATAACACGACATAGATATATGTGGCTCCTCCCCCATTAAACAACACCCATACAGAGTGAATCCAGACAAAAGAGAACGTTTACAAAAGCAAGTTGATTATATGTTGCAACATGGTATTGCTGAACCAACGTGTAGCTCATGGAGTTCACCATGTCTGCTGGCTGTAAAGTCTGATGGGTCTGACCGGTTCTGTACAGATTTTAGAAAAGTCAACAATGTAACAAAGCCAGACTGCCACCCTCTCCCTCGAATGGAGGACTGTGTAGATCGGGTTGGATCTGCGGCTTTTGTTACCAAACTAGATCTGTAAAAAGGTTACTGGCAGGTCCCATTAACAGACAGAGCTAAAGAAATTACAGCCTTTGTGACTCCTGATGCTTTTTTACAGTACAACATGATGCCGTTTGGGGTGCGTAATGCGCCGGCAACTTTTCAGTGTCTTGTAAACAATGTTCTGTCTGGTGTAAAAGGGTGTGAGGCCTATCTTGATGACATCGTCGTGTTCTTGGGAAGAGCACATTAATTAAACAGTTAAGAACGGTATTTCAAAGACTGGCTGATGCCAATTTAACTGTGAGCCTCGCTAAGTGTGAGTTTGGTCATGCCACAGTAGTTTATCTGGGTAAACTTGTGGGTAATGGACAGGTTAGACCAGTGGGCTCTAAAGTAGAGGCGATCTCTTTGTTTCCTGTTCCCTCTTCCAGGCGTGAACTGCAGCGCTTTTTGGGTATGGCGAGTTATTACAGGAGTTTCTGTAAAAATTTCTCTGCTGTCGCTGCTCCTCTCACTGACCTGGTGAGCCCAAAAAAGAAGTTTGTCTGGTCGGCCGACTGTCAGCATGCATTTGAGTGCATTAAAGCACTTTTAAGCAATGCACCCATCCTTTCTGCACCATCTTTTGCCGTGCCCTTTAAATGGGTGGTTGATGCCAGTGAAGCAGGACCTGGTGCTGTCCTGCTGCAGGGTGGTCCTGATGGGGTGGAGTACCCAGTGTGCTACCTCTCAAAGAAGTTTAATAAACACCAAAAGGTGTACTCCACTGTTGAGAAGGAGGCACTTGCACTGATATTGGCACTTAAAAATTTTGAGGTGTGCCTTGGCTCATCTAACTGTCCAGTTCTTGTTTATACAGACCATAACCCACTTGTTTTCATTCAGCAAATGCATAACTCCAACCAACGACTGATGCGGTGGGCTCTCTATCTACAATCCTTACATCTAGAGGTAAAACACATCAAAGGTAAAGACAACATCTTGGCTGTCACATTGTCGCGTTCAGTATGTTGCTGCTGAATGGTGTTTCAACCCACCATACAGCATTTAAGGGTGGAGGTGTGACGTGCCCCTGTGTCATTTTTACCTGTCTAATTGTCTGATGTCCTCTCCTTTCAGCTGATTGGCTGGGAGGATAATAAAAGGAAATGAGCTCCACCTGACAGCTGAGCGTGCGGCCTGAGGGGAGAAGTTTGATTGTTGGTCCTGCGCTCCAGCCTCGCCGCCGCTCCACTTTTTTCCTTGTAGACACCTGGTTTTGGTCTGGGAGCCCCTTTTTCTGGTTTTTGGTTGTAGGGTGAGACCCTGGACCGGAGGGCAAGGG